CTTCCGCATCACTGAAAAAGGCAAGCAGTAGAATTACAGCGTTAACAACTTACAAGGGAATGGTTTGAACTTCCCATGGAACTTTGAAATGGAGACCTAGGTACATCGATAGAGCCTCGAATGCTGATTACGAATATGCAGATTAAAAGTGCTACGGGGACCTCCCAGACGAGATCTGGCGCCCGGGTGTCAAAGTTGGGTCTGGCTCGTAAGCGCTTGTGATACGGACGGCGGCAGGTGCCACGGTGGCCTCAATGGTAAATGGTATCTGCCTTTCCAGACAAACGCAATGGGGGGGCGGTTTGCATCCGGTTGGGCGAAAATTTTGGCTGCGCTCATCTTCATATAGAAGCCTCAACTCTTAATGTTTCAAATTCTCGCATATTCACGGTCCCAGTCAGCGGCAAGTAGATCAATGTACATCAAGTATTACGTACTGTACTGACCTAGTATTGGATTTTTGTCATAACTCTGCCTCCTTCTGAAGATAGTTACACTTATTCCGGTCAATCCAAAATTAGATTGCCAGCCAAAATTGGCTAGACAAGGTTTTTTCGTCGAGGAGAGTATATTCGTAGTTCAGGGGGGTCGAAATCTTCCATCGAACGAATTCTTCGCTAAAACTTACATTGATCGGAGGGGTAGTATGTTCAGGCAAGGAAAAACAGATATGACCAAATCCATACTAGATCGACATATGTGTATCACTGATCGTCTTGATCTACTTGCCTGCTTGGACCAATAAATTGCGGAACCAGACAAGAATTTCTGAAAATTAGAGTTGAAGCTCTTATACGGAGCGAAGCAAAAATTTTCGCGCCAACCGGATGCAAACCCGCATGCGTTTGACTTGAAAGCGAGACCATTACCACGAGGCCACGGTGGCACTGCCGAGGCTCTATCGATGAACCTAGGTCTCCATTCAAAGTTCCATGGGAAGTTCAAACCATTCCCTTGTTAGAGGGGAAAGGGGCATTCAAAGGACTTCATAAGCAAGTCCCGTAATGGAGATGAAGCAAAGGCGGTACTTCTATTAGGATGACGTTCCCACTATTGCAGGAGTCATTTAGCCTCCCCCAAAGGGCATTAGTGCCGAATCACCTGCATAGTTGATAAGTTTAATCAGTTCATAAAGGTCTTTATATAGGGCTACACTGCTCTAAACCAACCACAGCTACATTTAAAGGGACATTCCGTAATAGCTGGATGGACAAAGGCACCCAACCTTTCTGCCTTTTCCACTGAACCATCCTTCTTCTTTACCGTTTTTGAAGGAGAAGCGCCAGGGTACAGCATCATTGGAAGAATCCTATCAGGGGAGCGATCCTATATGGTCGCTGGAAGGGGGAGGCGGGGGAGCAAGGGAGGGAGGGGTGAGTACTTGCCTTCAAGAAAAAATTTCGGTACTGACAGAAAGTTCTTCCGACCGTTGGATTTTCTCGGGCTTCTCGGTTCTTCACGCTTCATGTTCACTATATGTTCCTTACATCACCCCCCCCCCTTTCCCACCACTTTAGTTCCTTCCTTTAATTGCCAGAACTGCAGAACTGTCACAACTACTATTTCTGATACCTGAAATTAAAAATTAGTGGTTCATTGGTGACGAACCCACCCTTCCATGACTGTCAGTTTTTCGGGGGGGGGGAAGGGGTACTTGGAAAATAGAGATTTTGGAAAAGTGGTGGGAATTGATAGAGGAAGTTCTGGAGGCTAGGCAGGATTGGGTAGGTGAGTCATTCTGACACCGTCCTCTCACACATCACTGTACCTTGAGAGACGCACCAGTGAGGGAAGCGTTATGGCTGATGTCTCCGCCCATTTCCTCGCTCATCGGCTATTGAGGAAGTGTCTTTGAAGAGACGACTGTGGCAGATAGCCGAATTGTGTAAAATTCATATTGTGAACTTACCCGCAGTGAATACTGGTTACAGTGTAATTTGGACTTGGTTCCAATTCTACCCGTTCAAGGATCATAGCTGTCGCGGCGGTGTTCTCGATTTGTGCTTCAAGATAAACGTCGTTATTCTGAAAACACAGCTCTAATCAGGGTTTTCTTTTTGGAGAAACAGCTGAAAAACGTAAGCAATCCATGCTACTACACAAAGCATAAATCAAATTCAGCAGGGAACGTACCGAATTATCCTGTAATCACATCACCAACACAGCATCAAAGCATCCAGCATGCATGGAATAACAATGATCAGATGAACGAAAACACAACACAGCAAACACAAGGCAAACTGGCACGATCACCAAAAAAAATCCAACAAAAATTATACTCAAGTTAGCGAAACAAAAAAGGGATCCACGGCGGAGACCGAAACAAAGAGGGCTGATTGGTTTGACTCAAAGCGCATAGGAGCCCGCTCCCCAGCAAGGTACTACAACTAACCAAAACCCGCTAGAAATCCTCCAATCACCCCATATATAATTCGCTTCGTCTGTTTGTTTGTTTGTTTGTAAGTTTGTTTGTAAGTTTGTTTGTCTGTCCGGAAATTCGGTTCGACCTGAAGAACGACTTGGAGAGGTCGGGTCAAGGTGGGGATGGGTAGGGCATGGGACAAGAAATAAAAAGCCACTTGACTAGTGGGAAGCACCGGCCTTACTGGTAGGGCGAGGCACTCGCCGAAGTTTGGAGTTCTGCAGAAAATAATCATAATTCTCCGAGCAGCTTAAAGATGGGAGAAGGAAATAAGTTGTACAGGAGGTCGACGAACTAAATGTGGCAACCCATCTAAAATGGCGAGGCTACTCAAGAGTCGGCGGTCTGTCTCGCAAAATTCACAGATAAACCCCTGGTTTGCAGAGATGTTTGATTCGCAAAACTCAGTGGAGAATGTCAATATCTGTTTTTGTGTTTGGTCAATACTGTGTGTGTGTGTTGTGTGTTAGGGCAGCGCCAACAAGGGTATGGGTGAGACCCGCCACACGAACAGGCGAGCATTTGCAATAAATCGCAGAGTATTTCATTTTCAAAAGTTTGTAGCTACGCGTGTCGCAGACACTTCCAGATGACCGGAAAAAAGTGGATCAAGGTCAGCAGAGGGTCGTCGGTGAGGATTGTGGGGCAAAAACATTGTGGGCGGAGCCTGCTCCGAGGTGGGCGGAGTCAGACAAAAAGGTCTGTAAAAGCCGTATAGAGTCACCTCCGAAAGACCGCATAAAGTGAATTCAGGTTCAGCAAGGGAAGTCGCCGATTGAAAAATGTGGGGTTATACAATATCGTGGCGGGGCCAGCGTGAGGTGGGCGGAGCCAGACGAAAATTCCCTAAAACTGTCCCAGAGCACTTCAAAGACCGGAAAAAAAGTGGATCAAGGTCAGCAGAGGGTCGTCGGTGAGGATTGGGGCAAAAACATTGTGGGCGGAGCCTGCTCTGAGGTGGGCGGAGTTTTAGACAAAGGATCTGCAAAAAACGCTGCCCAGAGACTCGAAAACCGGAAAGAAGTGGACCAAGGTCAGCAGAGGGTCGTCGGAGATTGTAAGGCACAAAAATTGTGGGCGGGGCCTGCTCTGAGGTGGACGGAGTCAGACGAAGAATCTGTAAAACAGCTCAAGAGTACTTCAGACACCGGAAAAAGTGGAGTACAGAACAAAAGGCGGATATCAGTTGAGTCTAGAAATATGTGAAAGAAAATACGCGCCCGGCGCAGCCGGGCCGTATCAGAAGGAGGCGCGCCGGCGTTAGCCGGCGAGCCGACTGGTAAAGGATAAAGGATAAAGTCTTCGCCGTTGATCAATCCCTTTGTGGGAACGCATTCTACTTCCATTCAGAATCGTAGTGGCTTATTGAATGCGATGTGGCCTATACAATGACTTGCGGGGGCCAGCCGATGTACAAGTCAGTGTTTTATCCTCCCAGACGAATCTGGTACCAATTTACCGTCCCCGGAGGGTAGAAGGCTTGGTTGGCCTGGGCGGGTGTCGACCCGGGATTCGAACCCGGCGCCGCGCGAGTGGTAAGCGCGCCACTTGTCACTACACCACCTCCGCCTCAGAAATCCTCCAATATGACATCAAAATAAAGATATCTAAGCCGACATCCTGGTGCTGTGAAGACGAGCATCAACGAGATTCCGCTGTTGGAGCCCTCCTCCTAACAGTTACTCCTTCAGAGTGTACGGAAACAAAGCTAGTCTTGTGTTGGCTTGATGTTGCTTATGTGTACGTAGCCACGCCCACCCTATGTCTAGGATATGGAGTGCACGCTAAGGCGTCAGTTATGCCGTCGTGGTATCGGGCAAAATGGCTGTCCAGACCCTCTTCAACATTTTTACCCGGAAAAATGCCAGTCGAACAGCTGGCCGCGTGGCGTGTCTGTGCCAGTCCGTGATCGCTTTGCGATACGCACGCCGGCCAGTCGTGAACGAACAGTCGACACCGTGTGACTATAGACAGACGCCGCGTGTTTCTAGACAAGCGGCGCATGGCTATCTTCGTACGTCGTGATTGTACCGTGCGTGTGGCGTACCAAATGGCAGGCGGAGACACGAGGAATAGTGAGTTATCACAAGCCGCCTCACTGCCGCGCACTATCGAACAACGAGTGTGCCACCCCTACTACAGCGGACCTGCTCTTCTCGCACACGCAAAAGACCTTTCCTCGGGTGATCAACACTGTCCTTACGTTCAAAAGCCCAAATTATCAGACTATGGAAATGAAACGCTACTGAGCCCCTCCCCACTTCTGAAAAGGCGAGACAAAGAAAACTTTAAAACGAGATCTTCGGAAATATACAAATTTCCAAGAAGCAGTTTAGACACAACGGAACAAAACGAAATTGCACTTATTCTGAGCAGGAGTCATAAATTAGGAGGAACAAAAAAAAACCATGCAACAACAGGCAAGTCACGCTTTTGCACGTTACTTAATCGTTAATTGTGCAGCGAATCGGTATCGTGTGAGGCGCACGCGTGTACGCGAGCGGTCGCGGCGCGGGTGTCCGTCGGAGCAACCGATACTATTTTGTTGACAAGCAAATTTTCCACTTCATTTTTTGTCTCACAGAGAAAAAACAATGAAAAGATCAACATTAATTCTCACCTCTGCATTGTAAAATTTGGTCTTCACGTCGATGGGCTTGCTAACGGGGAATTTAATGAATTTCCGAAAATACATCTTTTCATCAGAAGACGTCTTGTAGTTCACGGAGCAGATCAGGCTGAAAATTCTCGGACTTTAGTGATACACACCCTTTTGTTGTCATGGAAACATGACTGTTAGAATCCGCAGAAAAAAAAAGAATGGCTGGAGCTTTGTAGCGATGAAATCAAAGCTGCGGAAAAGCATCACAAATATTCTGACGCGAGATGATGTTCCATCTATTCAAATTGAATATTGATTCAAAGTGATACCGCCCATGGTACCAGGGGTTGATGGAATTCAAACAATATGTGATGTTCGTATTGTTGGGATTAAAAATCAGCCGTCTGCTGAACAAGCCGCCAGCGATTTTTTTCGTCCAAGTGGATATCATATGACACAGCTTTCGGATATTCAGAGATGCTGCGGCTCAAAAAAAAGCGCTACTTACATATGTTGGCCAATTTCCTTGACTTCATGGGTGATAATTTGACCGAGCATTTTCCACCTTCCAAAAACAACGTCGTGAATGTTCGAGGCTAGACTCACTCTTTGGCTATTCGTTTGCAGATCGCACTGAAAAGAAAATGCGATTCATCGTATCAGTATTCATGGACGCTTTTCATTTCTGTTCTACATCATCTCCATTCCCCACCCCATTGCCCGTTTTTCGCTGTTAAAGGAAAAAAGCATTGTCACTACAGCGCTGCTAAGAATAGTCGTCTGGCTAGCGTCAACCGCGCAACGAAGGCACTGTGGGGATCAGGGCAGAAGAACACCTCATCGTATGGCACGCACATGCACCAACTTACGACCGGACAGCTGGCGAAAAAGACACACAACCTAGGTGAAATAATTCTGAGTTTGAATCCTTGAGAAGGAGCAAGCCCTCCATCTCTGCCTCAGACGTCACCAGAAAAAGAATATACACATCATCGCTCCAGCTCAAGAAGACCGGCCTACAGCGCTCAACTTCAGTTTGAGAGCAGTTGCGCATTTCCAGAGTTAGCTTCAGCCACTTGATGCAATTCCTGGAAAGCTATCGGCTATAGTTACTGTACGACAAAGAAGCCGCCCCAAATTTGCTTCGGGACAACTTCCCCATAGCTCCCAAAATTGTGATGCGAAGACTGGCCCTACAAGTCAAATTGAGCGGCAAGCGCTCTGAAATTTATCTAGGCGCGCGGCGTTGAAAATCCAGAAAGGACAGGCTAGAAGCGAGTTAAATAACAAACCCATAAAGATAGTGATAAGTATAACTGGCAGTAGTTCCAAACAAACATACCTTTACGGATACATCAGTGACTTTTTGATCGCTCTCGTTGGTGCAGTTGACATAGAAAGTAAAGGTTTCGCCAAGATAAATATTCCTGCAAATAATATAAAAGTACACAGACAAAAATACTTAACTTTGGCATGAGCACCATCAACGTTCATTTCGCATTTACAACTAGAGAGAGTCAAAACTCAGAAGTTGTCGAGTTGTGCGGCTCGAACAGTAATGACAAAATGGTAAGTACTGTAAAAGTGAAGAAAAGCGGATAAACCCGCCCGAAACACTCCATATCGAACCCCATGTTTACCGCGCTTGCACGTGAAATCGAAGAATGTTGGGGCCCAAACGAGTTCTCACTTGTGTCAGCTCATTCTCCTTATCTCTCCACTCTCATCAGTCGAAATGAAGAGAGCTAGTAGGGGAAAACAGCACTATCAAGAGCCATTAACACGTTGGCGACATTGCGTCCCACTGCTGGGACGCACCTTTTTTGCCGCGTGGGACATTGCGTCCCACTGCTGGGATGCGGCATGGGTAAAAAACCAATTTAAAAACGTTTCAAATTTTCAACAGCTACATATTGTACAGGAAGGCATTGTAGAATATACAGTAGCTGCAAAACAAGCAGTTGTGTCATTGGGAGTATTTTACGGAGGATACAAAGGAAAGTGATTTCCTTAGGAAAAAAAGGTAATTTCAGATAAATAGAACTGAAGCTCCTCATGCAGATAGCTAACGTGATAAGGCAATTTTCAACAATAGCAGATCTGGATCGAATCCAATTTACCGCCTCTGGCGCCAAAAAATTTCTTTTTGCGACCTCTCTTCCTACGCTCCGCGCGAGGCACGGAATATTCCACGGAAATTAAGGGGTTTGTCTTAAAAGCTAAAAAAACACCTAAGTCTTAAAAGTAAAAAAACAGTAAGTTTCACTAGATCTGGCATGAGTACTAGTCCGCTTCAAGTGTTTTGTGTTGTAAACGCCTTAGCATTCATGCGCATTCCTCAAAAATAGGGATAAATTGCTTCGTCCCACGTGGCAGACACGCGAAAAGGCGCCTTGTCGCCATTGTGTTAATGGAAGTATGGCAGTGCCGTGGCTAAGGCGCGAAGGGCTGCCATCTCTCGAGTGGGTCACGCTTTACTCACTTTTCGTTTTGCTTGTTTTGTAGCTGGGAAACGCTCCATGATTGCGGACAGGACTACAATACGCAAAGAAGGCGCTCACGCTCCGAACAAACGCGGAGCGTGCCTTTAAAAGTCCCAGTCTCACTGCAGCAGTATCAACTGAAACTCGATTTCTGTGTGGCTGCGCTGTAAGATCGGGGGGGCAGTTCGGTAGACGAGGGAGACAATTTCCGCATACTTCCATCGACGATGTTGTCGACCCATCTAGAGAGCCTCTTTTCGAGCTAACAGGTTTTACCATAATGGCTTGACGAGCTTCATAAGAGTCCACATGTTTCACCAGAGTGGGACTTATAAATCTGAACTAAATTAAAGTAGAAGTGAAGCAGCGAGAGTACGAAATGCCCCCACCTCACCACCCTTCCCGCGTCGCCGGACTGCTCTCATAAGATGTATACACGTACACTCAATATCCAGACGGAGGGGTCGTGGCCGCCTACCTCACTCAATCATGGCGGCGACTGCTTTAGGATATTGTGGTTTACATGTCTTTGTTCAGCAAAAGAAACATCCCTCAGATGGAAACACCCTCGAAAAAACGTCTCTTGTGTCAGCTTTGAAACCAAGTAGGCAGCCACGCCCTCTCCATCTTCGGGACATCAGCTGTATACGGTCACGGGGAAGCTAGGTTGCGCGGAAACAAAAATGAACCTAACTAAATTTTCAAAGTTAGACTGCAGCCAAAAAAGCTACAGCTACAAATACGAGCCCAGACAGAAAAGGAAAAAAAGCACAACTACTGAAGGACCACCTATTCCCTAGAAAATACGACAATAGTGTGTGTTTGTAGAGGAGGAAAGAAACAAAAACCCACTCAAACATCTGTGGCGCTATAAAAATGATTTGTAGAGGAGGAAAGAAACAAAAACCCACTCAAACATCTGTGGCGCTATAAAATAATCTCCAATAACGTCTTGCTTTTTCTCGCCACTGTCACTTTTAGTGAGAGCTGTTTCGATGAGTTGAGAGAAGCCAGCTGCATCGAGTGGATCCACAGAAAACGGTGCTGCTTCTGAGAACTTCGGCCGTGCTAAGCGCATCACTAAAATCTTACTATTAGGTTGTCCCAAAAGTTCGTGGAACTTTCGAACATTTTTTCGAGTTAAGTTTATTCCAGTGGGAAGCAATTTTGATCAACTATATATATGTCACCTTCATTGGCAACTTGTTGCCAATCACTACGCAATGTGTGGTTGCCCTGCTTCCAGAAGCCTCTTGGTTCTGTGCCCAGAAAGGCAGCTGGGTCATTTTTGAGGTACTATCAAAAATCGTATTTTTACCCAGAAGATGGCCGCTGTGGGATTAGTTTAGATGGCGATCGGAAAGAGCTAAGTCAGGGCTACACGAAGACTGTGGTGGAATTCCCCAGCTAAGCTTCGGGATCTCGAGCAGTGTCGTTTTCCAAATGTGTGACCCTGAGCTGTGGTGGAGTAGGCAAACATTGCTCGGTTTTGGGACCAAATGTTAGCGATTTTCAACCCCCTTTGCAGTTGATTACAATAGGGTTCGTAGGTTACCACAGCGCTGAGAAGAAGAAATTCCGTTATAAGGGAGAAAGAAACCCCACCACATACACAGTCTCACCGCCCTACTGGATTGATAGGATTGCGCGATCGGTTCTGCCCTTTCTGGGGGATCTAGCCGCTGGCGCTCCCGGGAGTGATTCATCTAGAGGCACCCACTCCATATCCAGTTACAGTGCTGTTCAACCAGTCCGTACAGCGGAAGCGGGAGAAAAGACAGTACCCACATGTGCTCCCCTTGGAGTACTGGTCAACTCATGAGAAAATTTTGACCGAACTTCAGAACTTTTCTAAGGAAGCGAGGCCCTCTCTCATTTGTGCTTTGGGACCAGTCAAGTGTAAGGACTAGATAGCAAGTTGATTTGTACGAATTGGTTTCAATCAAGGAACACAGTAGGTCCAAATCCAAGGCAGGTGGCCTCCTTGGACGAAGTTTTTCACCCGGATAGAAGTCACTAAAGCGGAAGCAATTGAGCCATTCCAAAGCCGTACTGTGGAAGGTAACATCAAGATCTAAATAAGGGAAATGCCGCTTATGGCTCCAACCACGTTGTGGCTTGGTAGAGATTCATATAGCGAAGTGTGTCGAAAATGATGAATTTCAATTACCGTTTTTCATATGAGAACAGCGACTGCGAGGGACGGTGAAGCTGTGGGATGCTTACCTAACACACTTTTCCCATAGACCACATGTGGATCTCGAAATG